AAACTATTCAAAAAAAATATTTTCATTAACATAAAATAAAAAAATATATATATATCAAAAATTTTATTTTTAAAGAATTTACCAAAAAATTTTAAGATCAAAATTTCAAAAATGTTTTAATAAAGATTTCCTTACAAAAGATTTTATTTATTATAAAATTCTTAAAATATTTTCTCAAAATTATGGAAGATTTTTTTACAAAAAATTATTTTTTATTTTGCTCAAAAATCTTCTTTGAGCAAGTTCAAAATTTTTTTTAGCGAAAAAATCTTCACATTTTTTGATCTTCAAAAGAGCAACGATCTGTGAAGATTTTTGAATTTTGAGCAAATGTTAAACCCTGATATTAATTCATCTGATTCTGAATTTTCCTAATCAGATGATGAAGCAACAACATAAATGCTTACGCTAATCTATAAAATATAATTAATAATATGTAAATTAATCAGACAGAAATAGTAGCTGGTTAAAAAGTTCAAATGCGATAAAAAAAACGATTAAAATATAATCCTCTTTCCTTAAAAAATTCAGATTAATATTTTTATATTCTAATGAATAAAAATAATATATTGAAAATTGAACGAACATAAAAAACGAACGTGTTTGCCAAAAAAAGGAACATCGTTCATCATTTTTTACAAAAACGAACTTCGTTCACGAACGCGTTCATTTTACAACATTAATAAGTAATATATACCTCAAAAAAAAATTGAATATTGTAAAATTTAGCATTATAGTGCGCACAAATTGAACGTTGCAACGCAGCGTTTCAAAACGCAAACAATGCATTTTAAATGCATTCGTTCAAATTGAGCACATTTCCGTTTTTCTTAAATTATTTTTTAAAAGACAAACTTGCTTGCGTTTTTGAAACTTTTTAAATTTTGAAGTGATAAAATGGATAATATTACATCTTCAAAATTTTAAAATTTAATGTATTTTATTTAAAAATTTCTCTTATAATTTAAAAACTAATGATTAGTTATCTTGAAATGAAGGTTACATATAATTGATTTTCCATATTATAAAGGTATTAGTATTTAATATATCATAAAAGATTATATTTAATATATTAGTAAATCACAATTATATAAAGTCATTAATTTCTGCTGTATTTTATTGACTGAGATACAAGTTCCCTTTTAGCGTCAGCGTTATAGTTGGGAGCAAAATAGCCATAGTCTATCCTTATGCATAGGATATTCAATTAGGGGGTTTGGGTCATTGAGAGTATAAAGCTGAGATAGTTATTTTATTATGTTTATCGCTAATCTTTGACGTAGGTAGAATCCCTCGTTGGGATCCTTGGTTATAGCATAAATCCGTTTTCCCAGCTCTTTAAAGAATGCCAGGGCATGAAAGCCGAACGATGAGAGTCGTGTAAATAAGTGATAGGAATGTATAGTCATCAGGAAACGATAGCTAATATTTACCGAGTTTATTCGTCTCAACGTCTAGTATAGCAATCAACTCTATTTATATTTGAAGGGGCTAGAGGATCGATGCATGAGAAATCCCAGGTTAGGAATTCCCCCTTCTTCCAAGGGATCATGGTAGAACCATTAGGTCGCTTACCATCGGAATTATAAAGGCCAGTAGGTTCAAGGGTTGATAAAATGCCGGCAGATTTCAAGGCCCTAGCAATAGTATCATTGCATTTTGAATGTCTTATAAATCTACCTCTACAGCGCTTGCAGTGTAAATAGTGACGGCCTTTGGAGTTGACTGGCGTTTGAGAGAGGATACATTGATAGGGTATTACCATATCATAATTAAGTCTAAATTCGATGGCGTGATGTAGCTCATCCTTGCTTAGGCGCTGGTCAAGGTTTCGAAATTGTAAGAATAATTATTATAATGGTATAATATTTTTAGGACATGGAATGATGATATTACCAAAAGGTTTGAAGAAATGTTGAACCTGATAGGTTATTTGGAATCAAGAACATCCTGACCATTAAAAAACTTTTATTGTTATGCAACATTTAACTGTTATTGGTTCCAGGTATAAATATATAAGAATATTAAATATAATCACTTAATTAGCTTAGCTTTGGAATTCCTGGTTTTGATACTAGTCCTCTATATCCCAAGAAGAGATTGAGGAATTTCAAGGATCAATTAAAGAGAAAATAGGAAAACCTTTAGGCTCATCAGGAAAAATTCATGAATATATATATACAAAAAGTATATAAATTTCATGCAAAAGACAGTTGCAGATGAGCAAATCTTGCAATTTTCATGTGGAACTCTCAACAACAAAAAAATCTAAAGTACTGAATGAATTCAAAGGTTATTAAATGTTTTGAAAGAAAAGTCATCTGGGATGCAGTAAAGCTAATTTTTATCTATAATTTATTAATATTTTATATAAACTTTTTATGGAAAGCCTTGTAGAGGAGGCGGAAAAATTAAATCCAGATAATCAACTATTATTTAAAACGGAAGTTTTAAAATTTCTACATTATTTAAAGGCAAACAATACATCAACAACACCTACAAATGATCTGCAAATTATTTATTTTTTATAAAAATATATAATGTATTTTATATTAATTTTTACTTTTAATAAAATTTTTATATATTTGTATTTGTCTCTATTTTCACATTTAATATAGTTATATGATATATCAATTTAATTTTTCTTAACATTCAAATAATATTAGTGTCAAAATTAATTAATAGAAATTTTTCTCAATATTTAATTAATTTAATTACACCATTAAATAACTATGGTTGATATTGAAAATGTATTTATAGAAGCAACAGATAATTTATTCATTTATATCATTTGATATAAAATATTTTCATGAATAAATTTAATACAATTATAAATATAAAAATTTATAAAATTTTTAAATTTGTCTCGAAGAATTTTTGATTCCATTGAAGTAGAATTATTTTCTCTGCTAGGTAAGAAGGGTCTTGTCATGAGGTTTACCATTGTTGTATCTGTATAATTTTGATGATTATATAATTTTCAAAATATAAAGATATATGATGTTTAATAATTTTATAAATAAATTTAAATATTTGTAGTACCTGTATCATCAATGCAAGCTGATCCTTCTTTGTTGATGATTATGTTGTGTAAGATACATATTGTTTTATCACAATTTATATGCTAGCTAGGCCAATTTCTATTGGCCTACTTATAAGCTCAATTTTTTTAACAATTCCCCTTAAACTTCTTTCTACACTAACACGGGCATGAGATAACCTCATGTTGAATTCCCTTTCCTCTGTTGTAATAAATTTTCTGTTAATGTCTTTTAAGACTAATAGGTTAATTGGAAATTTATATTTGTAGTTATAAAATTGTGAGCCACTATTGGGAGGGAACTTGATATAGATATGTTTGCCATCAATTGCCCCAACAATTTGGGAATCCTGATTGAAGCAGGAATTCCTGAGAAATCTAAAGATAAGTAAATATTAATCTTGATTTATTATAATAAATTTACTCTTTCCCAATCATTTTTATTAGGCCTAGGCATATGTATATGTACAGCAGCATTCCAAATTGCTGTTCACACTGATTTCACAATGTATGCTACACAGGTTTTTGAAATCCTTGAGTTATATGCTAGTTGTGCAAATGATACACCAGTAATTAAATACCTTTTACATAAATAATTAATAATGAATTAAATTTATTTTACCTCAAGGTAACAAACATCAGCATCGATTTGTTTGTTACAATTAGTAATTTTTGGATTAATATCATCATATATTAGCCCGAGAATATATGAAAAAGGTTGATCTTTTCATTCTTATATAATTATAAAATTGAATGTATCGACCACCTTTTATATTGATATATTCAGACATATATTTGAGATGTCTTGCACCTCTTCCTTACTTATTTTTTTCAAGTAAATACAGGGCAAACAATTTTTTTTGTTTTACATTTAAATATTTCATATTGAAAAAATAAAACTTAACGCATCAATTTAAACAAGACTGCGTTTACGTTTTTTATATGCGTTTTGAAACGCTGCCTTGCAACCTTCAATTTGTGCGCACTATTATACTTTTAAAACAAAACCATAGCCAAAATCGGGCCTTCTCCTATATATATATATACACAAGTCCACTCTCATAGATTAGGCATTGGATTTTATTTATTTTTACCAATTTTAAGTATTATTTTAATATGTAACTATTTACCAACATGGTGTTTCGTAACAAGGATCTTTTTTTATGTGTATATTTGGAATTATACACGAATCCCATAATTGTAGAAATATATTAAAATAATTTCATCGGTTATAAAATAAATTTTTATTCACCCAGGGCATTGACCCATCACTTATTAAACGTTGAAATTATAAAAAAATTGTTAACGTCTTTTTATCATTCTCTCAGTGCTTTGATGTGACATAAATTAATCCAGAACTTAAGCGTTATACCAAAATTGGAAAAGGGGTGAACCAAACTCTTATAAATTATTAGAAAGGTTCAAAACAGTTTTGTAGAGTAAATTGTCTTAAAAGATTATATTTCTTATTCTTTTACCCAATCAAATTAGAGATTACTCTACTTTCAATTCTTTACCTTTTTTTAATTTATTTGTTGTCCTTAGTTTAGCTCAATTTCGATATTAGCCATCGCGATTAATACTCAATTTACTTTCACGATAAATTATTTGATTATGAACATTAATAAACCGTTAAAATTAGCAGTTGGAATGTAATCAATCTCATACATAACGGTTCTGTTGTATTAATTAGATTTAATTCTAAGAATTATAATATTAATAAATTAAATTAATTATTTACAAAAAGAAGAGGGAGGGAGGGGTTTGCAAATCGTCTGCAGTTCTTGAGTTAATAAAACATGCTTTTAGTGTTTTGAAAAATAGATATTGGCTAACCGTTGTCTATCATTACGAGATTAAAATTTCACCAATTTCAGTTTACTATTATCTTGTTTTAAAAAAAACGTACAATGTATTTATATCATTTTTTTATCGAAAAAAATAAATATTATATGAAAAGCGTTAAAAATGGCCAAATCAAAAACGTCGATTCTGCCAAAGTATCTGTTCCCGGCGAACTCAAGAAGTAATCTAAGAGGAGTCATTTATATTCAAAATTTTCAAGATACACTCCCTCCTTCTTCCAATTCTGAAAACCCTAAAAATAATTTACTTCAGACCGAGCTGGCCTTTGGTCTGTTTTTAAACCTCTAAAATAGGGCTCTGCCTTAGAGGTCTGCATTGGGCGGGTTTTTGGACCAAAACCCGCCCATCCAATTAAAAAAAATTTAACCCGCCCGCCCAGGCCGCCTGTAGTTTTCAAAAAAATATATACCCGCCCGCCCCGCCCATTTGTCTAAAATTCCTTACCCACCCGCCCATTAGTCTAAAATTTTTTACCCGCCCGCCCATTAATTATAAAAAATTTTTAACCCAAGCCCGCTTATAAAATATAATTATGGTCATTCTTTCATTTTTTAAGCATCTAATAAAAATATTTCAGCATTACACCTCTAAAAAAAGTTTATAATTTAGGAAATTAATATAAGTATAAAAATAATCAATGTAAATTATGGACAATTTATTTGATCAAATTGAATATTTATGAAAAAAATATAAATGTAAAATTAATATTATATGTATATAAATTATTTTTTATTTTTTTAGATATATTTTCTTTATTCAAAATAAAATTTTAAAATAAAAATTAAATTAAAATATATTTTTTTATTAAAATTATGTTATAAAAAATAAAATTTATATATTATATAATAAAATAAAAATGAAAAGGGCAATTATAAAGATAAACAATTATTACTAAAATAAAATAATACAATGCAGATTGCAACCCAAAAAACGGAAATTTTAAGAGAAAAGTTTTATTACATTCCTATAAAAGGAATTTCTAATAGACAAAAATGTTTATTTATTCTAAGAAAAAAGTTTTATTGTTTGTTTATTACATAATATAGTTAATTAAATGTTCTTCACTTAAAAAAAACGATTGGTACAATAAAAAAAGAAATATTGTTATAGATCATTTAAACAATTATTTTTTTAGTTTGTTTTTGAAAAAATTTTAAATTTCTTCCCGCCCCCCCAGCCCGCCCATAGTTTCAAATTTTTTTAACCCGCCCGCCCGTCTGCCCATTCTTAAATTTTTTTACCCGCCCATCCGCCCGCCCACATTGGGCGGGTGGGCCGAAACCCCGCCCAATGCAGACCTTTACTCTGCCTATCGACAATTTTTTCACCAATCCCTTCGATATTACTGCTAAACTGGTCCGATATTTAAATTGATATATTTTTATTTATTATTTATCTTTAATCATTATCATTAAAAAACCAATATTTTCTATTGAAAAAATAACCAACTTTCACGAATGATTAAGTGCATTAAATGGTCTCATCGAGCTGTTTAACAAAACCAGCTAAATATGACTCCTTAGATATTTTGAAATCCGTTTTTTTGTTGCAGATAATATAACAAAATTTAATATCAAATTTTTAGTACACTATTTTTTAAACTAATGAATTATTCAATTTTGGTTCTTTTTATTAATTTATTACTATTGTATAAAATAAAAAATATCGAATGGGTTTTTTGGAAATTCTTTCCTTCTTTCTGGCCTGATTTAATATATATAAATTAGACAACCCATCTGACCCGGGGTGGGTTTGGACCTCTTTCAGAAAATTGTTTTAGATTAAGTTCCTCTTATCAAAATTTCCGCTAAATAGAGTTTTAAATTTTTTAACCTTAATTCGGACTCACAACCCTGTGTTTTCCCTTCAAATTTACAAATTTTTTTGATATAATAATAAAAATTTTAAATATAATGGATTAATGAAAAATCGATAGAGGATTTCTTTTTTAAATATCTTAAACCAAAAGTTATGGAATTTATGGACCAAAGTCAATTTTTTTTAATTTTGAAGATATTATTGATTTTAATGTTTGAGGCGGTTTTAAAACCTAGTCGAATCTTAGACATTTAATGTTTTTTAACCCTTAAACTAATCTTCTTTTTTTTAAGAATCAACTATTCTTCGCCCGAATACGCCGAATTCTCAAATTCTCATAAGCATTCCAATCCAGCTGGTAAATATAGCAGTATACCCGAAAATTGTGAGCTTGACGATGTTCACATGGTTTTAATGGATACATTTTTTAAAATAAATATAGCATTTTTTTAAAGAAAAAGTTAATAACTAATTAATAAGTGTAACCCTTCATAGCAGTCTTATATAATATGCAGAAATAATTAACTAATTAATAAGTGTCATCCTTCATAGCAGTCTCTATGCAGAAATAATTAACTAATTTATAAGTGTCATCCTTCATAGCAGTCTCTATGCAGAAATAATTCTAATTTTTGTAGCTTGAACAAAGATTTTATACAATGCCATTTGATACGTGAATAAATAGATAGTTAAAAATCGCTTATATTAGATCCCCATAAGTCGGCACTGAACTCGGCTTGAACCAAAAAAATATAATTCCAGGGTATCCCATTCAAAATGGAAAAGTCCCAATCAAAAAAGGAAAAATTACAATCATAAAAGAAAAAGCTCCAATCAAAAAAGGAAAAGGGTCAATCATACAAGGAAAAAGTTCAATCAAAAAAGGAAAAGTCCTAATCAAAAAAAGAAAATTCCCAAAAGGAAAGAAAAAGTGTCAATCAAAAAAGGAAAAGTCCGATTCAAAAAAGGAAAATCATTATTATTTAAATTAAAAAAATATATATTTCTTGTCTATTTCTTATTTTTTTCTAACTTTTAGCAATTTCTTTACTCTATTTTTCTTACTATTTTCTCAATTTATTTTTCTTCTCATTTTTTGTTTTTTAAATAATTTATAAATTTTCCGTTATTCTTCACCTCTCTGCTCCTTTTTTAAACAATTCTTTACTTTTTTTTTATCATACATAACAATATTTTAACTTTTTATGATTTTTCTCCTTATATTATAATTATTTACATACATTTATAACCTTTTCAATCTCTAAGTCATTTACAGAGTTAATCTTTTTCATACATATATCTATAATATAATATTAAGCCAAATAATCAAAATCTTGTATCAATAGAAGCCTAAATAATATTATGAAGAATAGAAAATTTTGTTCTTCTTGATCCTTAAATTAATGCTAAAAAATACTATTAATTTGCATTAAAAACAAAATTAAAATGCAATTTTAATATTAAATTAACTCAATAATCCTTTGGTTTATTTCTAAACCCTTGCATCGTGACGCAATTATAAAAAGATTTATTTCTTATCTTATCTAGCACGTTGGTCATACTCATAGGTCATAGATCTGCCTAAAGTGAGCGAACTGCCGATTTTTTTTTAAGGATATCAACAAACCTTGTACTCAATTGTAATTTAACAAAATGAGTGCCCTTACCGATTTTGTATTAGAAATAATTTAATAATGAGTGTATAGAAGAAATAGGTAAGGGTAGAGGTGAGAACCTATTCTTTCCAAATATAAAGGTTATTATATATTTATTTTATTTTATAGTAAGCATTAAACTAATATCTATTTGTTGAATTTTCTGTTAGGTATTGTGAGTGGTACAATTCTATTTAGGTATTGTATAATTTATTAGTAAAAGACATATAAGGTGTAAATATAAATAGGTTATCCTAACTATATTTTAATTTCACTTGTAATTGGAAAAATCGGACAAATTTATCTAAGTTACTTTTGTTTCACATATTTAGTGCTACTCATATTTTATTCAACCATTACCTAAAATGATCCCTTTATTTACCTTAGTTGGGTCTATACATCTTCAAGTGTTAGTGAATTATACTCTTATACAACGAATAAACTATGACATTATCAACTCCAACATATCCTTTTTTGATCAGACTTTTTCCTAAACCTTTGGGACTTTTCCTTTTTTGATTGGGCCTTTTCTCTTTTTAATTAAATCTTTTCCTTTTATGATTGACTCTTTTCCTTTTTTGATTGGACCTTTTTCTTTTATGATTGAAACTTTTTCTTTTTTTGTATGGGAAACCCTGTATGATATCTTCATTTAATAAAATCTGGGTTGGGTACTTGACCATGCCAATATAATCAAATATGGTATCAAATTCAGTATACATTTTATGATTGTAGTAGCTCTATTTCGTATAATATAATAGTAGATAGTACAACTGGAATTACAAAAGGACTAGGATGTTTCTGTAGTTGCTCGTTTCATTGCCGAAATTTTATTGAAGGGGCAACTGGTTCTATTTTAAAATCAAAATCGGGCTATGAATGGCTGAAGGCCCTCACAAGTACGAATCTTGGCCTTCAATTTTCGACTGAATAACTTTGGCTTTCAATTACTGCCCGTTTAAGATGTGATGCCACCATTCCAATAAAATATTTTGATAGTAGCACTCCTTAATACATCGAAAGTTTACCATTCCTTGCACTGTAAATATCAGGTCGGTCACATCCTTGCTATTCCACTATGAATAGCATAATCATAATTTTCTTCAGAATGATAAAATGTCCTTTTATTATAAACTATAAAAAATTTTTCGATTGTGGCGATGGTATCACATTTATCCATGAACCAATGATCATGTATATATTATGTACAAATTATTTGAAAGACATTGTTGTGAATCAAAATTAACAAATAACGAAAAATTTTATTACAAAATATTAGGTCTGAACTATAATATATTAATACAAAACGAAGAAACTAGAAATATATGAAGACAATAAAATATTTTTTATAATTTTAATTTAAAAAAAAGATAAACAAAAAATATAAAATAAACGCTAATTATATAAATTTTCACTGCACCACTCCACTTTGCACTTCTCTCGTATCTGGGTAGGTTATCGTTTTTCCAGCGGTTCTTCTGTCACCACTATCGGTGTCAGGTCGGTCAAGGGTTATGCGGCCATGAGTGCTATTATCGTCGTAACCATGATAGGTTCTTTATTATTCGCTTTTTCTTGTATCGCAAAACATTTTGTTTTTTTCCACATAATCTTCTTTATCATTATATTGTGGTTTTAGTTTATTTAACGGGCCTTTGGGTACGCGTTTTAGCATATGTGATGCTGGTGAAGATGTGTATGAGGAGTATTTCGGTAGACTAATAGAAATTTATCGATTTCTTTCTTCGAGTTATTCGTTTTTCTAATAAGGTTTGTAGGGGAGACCGGGGTTATATTGTCCATAAAGAATTGAGAGGCTGTGAAAAGGAAGAGAAATAATTTATCAAAATAATTTAATGTTATTTTATTCTTTATATAATTATCTACGGTAGAAATTAATATTTAAATTTTAAAAAAATGAAAATTTTTGAGTCATGAAAAAGAGACGAGGGACGTATTATCCTTTTGTGGGGCATGTTTTAGACTATCATTTTCTAAGCATTTAATTCATTTTTTTCATACAAAAATCATAACAAACATATAATATTAACATACAACACATTTATTACATATAAAAAATGGATTAAAATCACAACATGATCCATGTGCCCATAAATGACAATTACGGCATTGGAACCAATCTTCATTATGGTGGTGAGTTTGATAGTTTTTGTGGCACATTAAACAAAATTCTTTTTTGCCAGTATTCATATTTAAACTTTTTTTACTTTTTTTATTATTGGTTTGATTTTTTTTTCCAGATTATTAGCCCTAGATCTGGCTATTTTTTTGTAAGGTGAAGAGGTTAAAATGGCTGAAGTCATTTGATTACGTGTTGTTTTTTTAAATATTGTTGGATGGGGACTAATAGTTTCTGGAGCAAAATCTTTTTCCACGTGAGAAGATGATGGAACAGGACTATCACTGACAGATGGTTGCGAAATAATTTCAGATAAATTTAAATTCTCATTAGGATCGTTATTATTATTATAATATAAAGGATTAGAATTTTCGTCATTAAAAATTAAAGGATTTAGGGGCCATATACCTGAGGATTCAAAACCCTTTTGGATATTTGAAGCTGAGGTGGCTTGTGCAAAGACATCCTTTACTACTCCAGGGATATCATATATAGTAAAACTTTTCCCTGGATGCATTCTCATCCAAGGCACTGTTGTAATATTTTTTTAGAGGTCCAAAAACAGTTCTATCCAATGGTTGGAGTTTGTGAGTGCAATGGGGAGAGAGAGTCAATACAACTATACCACTGTCAGAGCACAGCTTAATGACTTCAATAGATTGGTGAGATTTATGATTATCTAATATAAGCAAAACTTTTTTATCTTGACTGGGCTTAGTGTATTTTATAAAATGATTTAAAAAATATATAAAATCTTCAGCCAGCATCCATCCATAACCATTGGACACGTCAATGCATCCTACAGGGCCATCTCTTAAATAATGATCATAAAATTTTTTCCTGGGATATATAAACATAGGTGGAATAGAATTTCCTAGAGCATTGACAGCAATTGCCAAGGTCATAAGTGTACCACGTTCTGATGTAGTAATTGCCCCAACCTGTTTTTCGCCTTTCCTTGCAATAACTTTATTAGGCCATTGAACTGTTGTTAATCCTATAAAAATATTAAAGATTTGCTATCATATATATTTTAATTTACCAGTTTCTTCCATATTATATATATCACATTGTAGAAAGTTATTTTCCCTTGTGACAGTCAAATAATTATTAAAAAATAAATCAACCATTTTCATATTGAAATTGGTAGCCCTGGATATACTTGTAGCCTTTGGTGTTCTCAAAGATATAGTTGGATTTTTTTTAATAAATGCTCCAAACCAGTCTTCACCAGCTGATTGAGTTATTTCCCAAGATTTTGGTACTTGTAAACTCTACCTCTTGGCCATTTAATAAGCTAAAACTCTAACCTAAATTTAAACATAAGACATTAAATTATTTATATATTAAGGCAATCTAATTGAAATCCTAATTCTTAAATTTTATTCTGAATTTATTTTATAATTAATATAATAAAATATATCATACATAATTAAACCTCTAATGTATAGGTAAGAACCAAAATATGTTTTAATGCATGATATAATTTAATGCTAAATCAATGAATAAATCATTTTAAAATTAATATACATCGCAGCATCATTTTATTTTAAATATATATCATACACACATAATTAAATCTTTAATATATAGGTAAGATATGATTTAATGCA